TTTATAACGTCTGACAATTTTTCTGTCGAAAAAAAAAAACGAATGAAGCTTTGCGCAAACTAGCCTCACAGCGCATTTTTTTTTTCATTTTCCGTTTATTTGTTATTAATTTTCAAATTTTTTTTAACGCTAACATGATATAATTGTTTATTAATATATAAATAAAAAATTTGCACTTACGACAATTGTTTTATCAACATCTTTGCATTTCACAGGTAAAGTTTCCTCGCACACTTTTCGACGTTCTCGGAAAGTTGCTGACATTGGATAAACATAACACACTCTGAGATTGTTTTAAAATTTGAAAAAATATTTATAGTAATAGAAGAGACTTCTATCTTCAAATTCCACACATTTTTAACGTGAAAAAAACATAATACTGAATAGCAGCACTTGAAAAGTGCCAAATTCGAATTTGCACAAAGTAGCCCCACGTGACGGTATACTCTCAGAGATTTTTTAACTGATTCGGAGTTTCAACACATTCATTGCCCACCATGTGTAGGTGGTAATACTATACCTATTATTGAAAAGTGGTAATCTATAATAATAAAATCAAAGTTAAATTTTCCCATTTTAGCAACCGGCTTAATTTTTACATTTTACAATAAGTTTATTTTAATAAACAATATGTTTTTGTCATGACAACACATATTTTCTGGAAAAATATTTGCTGTACTGACACAAACTTTTCATCACATGATATCGCGTGATCCGGCAACGAACGTGCTTATCTGTATTATACGTTTTTTTTCCTTCTCTTTTTTTTCTGATGCTTACATAATCTCACTTGTTGCTTACATTATCTGGACTTAATATAACTCTACTTAGTTATGCGATACATCAAAGGGAAATCACTGTAATCGAATTAAAAATACAAGATTTGTAGGAAAAATTCATTTTCATGTAAAAGATCAAAAGGAATATATATTTTCGTTTTCGGTAGAAAAAAAATCGTTCGCCAATACTTGCACCCAAATACAGTTTGTTTCGCCGAATTTACTATTTTATCGCATTTGGCTATGTGGCGAATGCTCATCGCGGGCCCTGAATATGACAATATTTATTTTTCAACCAAAAGCGATAAAAATTAAAGGTAGATAAAACCCGAATCACCTGATTCAGGTTTTGAATTTAAGCTGGAAAATTTTAAGTTAGATAAAAATTTTACGTTTTTCACACGAATTATCCTCAGTTCCAATTATTCTAGTTGCTTATCTCATTCGCCCGTGATCCTCATATCAATAGATTAGTAAATATTCCTTCATTAGATTTCCACAGATATAGCAATAACCGAGGATCTGTAATTTTGTGCGTAGAATATAGAAACATCAACAAAATAAAGTGTAAGTTATGTTTTTAATACTTTTTATCATAAATTAAAATAAGTATTTTATTTGTTTATTTCGAAATTTATTTAACTTTCGATAATTTTTTCTTTTACCTATTTGAAACAAAAAAAGAATTTTGATGCAAAAATTTTAATGTGAAGTTCTGCAACCTTTTTAAGGTACCTAATACTGTTCCAGGTAGTCTCAAAGCACTTGAAATAAGACTTGTACTGAGTATTTCAAATTTAAATATTTTAAATGTTATAAATATTACAACGGTCATAATGTTTCACAACTGTTTTAAAAATAAATTTAATTTTTTTGTAAACGAATATGTATTGACATCGAAAAAGAATATTTGAAATTTTATTAAGTATTAAGTTAAATATTAAGTTTTAGTTCATTATGTGTAGTTATTAGAATCATTTTTTCATTGCAATCTTTAATCTGATTTTGAACTTCATTGCTGTATTTTCTCAATGTGGAAAATTGAAAAAAATTGTTTTATTTATATACTTACCCCTCTATGCACTTTGGAAGAAATTATTTTTCTTGTATAAATAACTCAAAACGTATAGAAAGTTTTAAGAAAATTATTATGTAATGAGCATTAATGTAAGAAATTAAAGATACTCCAAGCGCGTTTAAATACATTGTTAAATTTAAGATCTTATTTTAAAGCAGCAAAGATATTTTTAATATTAAAGAGATAGTTAAGAGAAGAAATTTTTATTTAGTTTACAATGAATATATTACTACTCCACTGCAGTGCAATTGAAAAATCAACGCAAGCTATAAAGAATTCAAAATTTAGATTTTTCTATATTTTACATCTTTGTATGGTAAGCTACATATTGCAATTTTTTTTAAAGTAAATTTTGTTTTATCAGTTTTTGGAAGTTCTATTTTAGCGTTCATAACATTAGCAATAGAAGGAAAATAATTGTCAAGCCAATTTTCTTGGAATGAATCAAGGAGCACTTACGTTGTTCTTTTGAATTGCACAGCAGTATGCAAATATTGAGTTAATATCGAACCCGCAAAATCAAGCAAGTTCGTTCCTAAAGGGTAAACACAGAATGACCACAACCAGAAGAATTTTAAAAGTAGTAGAGAAAGATGCTAGAAAAAAATATTTTTTGTTTATTCTTAGATACCAAAATATATTAATTAATTAAAGGGAATATGTTTAGATGTTAAAACTGCTTATTTTAACTTTTAAAATTAAAGTTGAAATGTTCAACAGTGCCTTAAAACTTTTGCAACTACTTTTAAAATTTTGTCCACCTAGTTATTAGAAGAGAAATGTGAAGGAATTCCATTTACCATATCGTGTTTAAATTCACTCAGTTTTTATTTAGTTTACAATGAATATTTTACCACTATGTACATATTGAGTTAATATTTAACCCGGTTAAGGGTTAATACAGAGTGATCTCAACCGAAGGAATTTTAAAAGAAGTGGAGAAAGATGCTTGAAAAAATATTCAATACAATTGTAAATTAAAGGGAATATGTTTAGATGTTAAAACTGCATACTCTAAATTTCAAAATTGAATTTAAACTTCTAAAATATTCCACAGTCAAATAAAACGTATGCTACCACTTTTAAATTTTTAGCATCCCTCCTGGTATTAAGCAAGAAATTTGATAGAATTCCATTTATCATACTAAGTTTAAAATTACCATCAATGATATTATTCCTTAAATTCATTATATCACCCTTTAGTACAGTAAAATCTGTTATCTATTACGCTTTTTAAAAAAAAGAGTTTTCAGTGGTCATAATTATATGTATATATATACATATATATATATTAATTATATGTATATAAAAGAATAAGTATTAAAAGAAAGAAAAACGAAGAAAATTAAGAAAAATTAAACTTTTATATACATTAGTAGAAATAAATTATATGAAATCAATTAACAAATTAATTTTTAAGCTTTGAAGATAATTGTATAAATTTACAATTGTTTTTAAATAATTCAATACTTTTAATCAATTTTAGAAAACTGTTCGCTGTAGAACGTAATACTGTTATTAAAATAAGTATTGCATCATAGCTTGCGCATAAATTTGTTAGATGAGCAAGTTTATCTCTTACAAAACAGAAAATAATATTGTTAGCATCATATGTCCCCTGACGTAATTGTGACGTAGGTTCTGGCTATTTTTGGAAGAGTCGCTGCGTTGACAAAAATTTTCATAAAAGATACGTAATTTAAACCGCTATTTATGGGTTCAATTTCTCATAAATGGTTTTTAACACAAGGAAGAACGACTATTCAGTATGAAAAGAATTTTCATTATTTTCAGCCAAAAACATGTTTAATATATTCAACGAAAAATTTAAACCTTGTATAACAAATACCAATTCGCATTTTCGATAGTTGCAAACTAAATTCGCATTTATTTGAGCTTAACACATTTTTTTGTTTTTAAAAGTTGAAATATATTTTAAAATAAAACGTGTTATTGTGTCGTTTAATAAGATCTGTAATTATCATTTTGATATCGATAGCGGGTGGGGATTGAGTCTTTTAATATCTATATCAATCGAAGATTAAAAATACCTACAGAAGTTAATTCTAATGCGAATGTGTTTTGATATTTACTAGAAGCACTAGATATCATTTATGTGTCTGACGCTTGAGGTTAAAAAGTAGTAGGCTCTAAAATTACTTGAAAATTAATTTTTAAATCATTATCGAGGATGAATATTAAAATCAAAAAAACAGATGTCTGTCAGGTTGTAGAAAATGTAGTTATCGACAATGTCAGCCTTCATCGATCAAATGTTACTCCGAAGTTACTATTGAGTTAACAAGTCTTATATACTAGAGAATTGATGTTTAATAATCGTATAAGATAGTTATTCCACAATAATCCTCCGGCAGAATTTTATCAGGAATAGAATTGGACCATCTGTCGATGGTTGCGAGTCTGCAAAGCTAGGTGTCTCCAGATCACGTCCGGATCACCAATGTATGGAATGGATCACGTCCAGGTCACCAATGTAGGAAATGAAGTTATCGATAATGTCAACCTTCATGATTCAAAAGGTACATGAAGATGGTATCGAGTTAACGCGTTTTATATACTAGTGTATTGATGTTTAATATTTGTGGTAATAGTTGCGCCACAATGTTTCTCTGCGAACATTTCTCAGTGGTAGACATTTTTTGATAGAAACTATCCCACTTTAGTTGTACTTAAAAACCTCCAACAAGTAACGCAAAGGTTTTTAAACCCATGATCTAACATTTGCATGTGTAGTTTCCAATTAGCCCTAGGTTTCGGCGATTTCGGAATCTTAACATGGCTGTTAATAGTTAGGAAATATCGTTGTTTCCGGGTATATATTGCGTTTTTTTCTCAATCTAACTAATTTATGTTATTTTTACGCCGATCATTACTAATGTTACTCATACGAAGTTTTCAATATTCATTACAATAACTATTTTATGAACGTTAACGGATACTATTAACCAATGTTATGATATTTGTCGCTGTTGATGATAATTGCAATATTAATGAGTTTATTATTATCGATAATTCTAGCGATATTATCATCTCTGATTTTTATACCTGTGGATTTTGCGGATAATTATTATACGTTTTATATTCATCGTTAGGTATTTTGATGATGCTGTGAATAATCCTTAAAATATGGTATTAGCGATATTTAATTAGTATTTATATAAGATCTCCCAATTTACATACAAGGGGTCGTTTGAAACTATGAGTTTATTATTTTCTGGAATAAAGAAGGGAACGAATAAGGCATGTCATTCCATGAAGCGAACATTCAATATTTTGGAAAATTGTAATAAATTATTTTACAGAAACGAATTGAAAAATGTAAAACAATATCTCTGAACAATTGTAGCCTTGAATAAAATCTTCTACAAAAAAAACTAAGCATAAATTCGTGACATTTTTTTACAAATAAAAATAAAAGCTGTTTCGATTTTAACTCCTTTAGAGTGTTTATAAATATAATAGTTTTTTTAAATAATATAGTAGTTTTAGTATAATGTAGTAGTTTTTATAGTTAATATAGCAGGTTTTAAAATATAATATATTTCTTTGTTTTTAACAATTGACGTGAGTGATGCCTGTGTTTGCTCTAAATATTTTTTTCCCGAAAAATGCTTTTCGATCTTTTTTATTCTGCCGTAAATAATTTTTGTTGCAAATATTCAATATTTCTTCAATAAAACAAAAAACAAATTGCATTATTTTCTTCTTGTTAAGCAAGCAAAAATAATTCACTCACTCAAATTATAAAACTATATAATGTTTATTTAAAATAAAGGCATCTGTACTATAACTAGTTAAAAATTGCATTTTTATTTTTAAACAATTTTTTTTAATAAATTTCTTACTTTCGAATTGTTTTAAATTCAAAGCTTATGAAATTTTGAAGAAACGTGATTAATAAAATATTTCCTGGAAAAATTAAATAAAGGTAAAGTTTATCTTCTTGAAATTTTAGAATTTTAAAGATAACTGACTTTGCGTCTAAAGCTTAAGCAGATAAGAGGATTAATTTACCCATACTTTTACTTACTTGTTGATTAATTATTTACTAATTTAATACTTTCTCATTTTTTAAAAAAGATTTTCAAATTTATTTTTATTAAATTATTAATCTAAAACCTGTTAAAGTAATGCACATTTAAGAATGATGGAATAATAAACTTAAATTTAATCTTTAACTTTATAATGAATAAACTTATTTAATAATGGATAATTTTTGCAGTTACCTATGATGCAGATTTAATAATCCATTATGTGAAATACAAAGTATGTTTACAAATAAAGCTTTAAATATCTATTATAATTTATATAATCTGTCAAAACAAATTTTAGATTCCTATTTTTTTACGCTCAGAAATAATTTGCAGAAATACAAGTAACTTTAAAATTTTTAACTGGCTTGAACAATTAGGTTATGAAAATATTATTAGGTTATGCATTTTAAAAGAAGTTAAAACTTATTTTTATTTCAATTAGTTTTAATATATTTAATGTGCAATTTTAAAAAAATGCAATTTAATTTGTCTCTAAATATTTTCATTTTAAAACAGCAGCCTTGTTGTTGCAAATCACGTATATTTCAAATTTTCTTTTATTAGTTTTCTGAAAATATATTACTCCTTTTTGCTTAATAAATATTAGAATCCAATAAAATAATGAGAATAAGTAAAAATGCAACAAGGTTAACCAAAATTACGGAAAGATCTTAAATTTGCTATTTTTTTTATTGGTTTCTAATTAATTATAAGTTTTCGCCAAAATAAATAACGCCACTGAAAATCAAGCAACGCACAGTCTGCCTTAAATTCGCTTGATTTCTTAAGCAGACTTGCTAGCTTGGCCCGTAAGGAATAGAAACAACAACTTATTGCTATTTCTCAAAATGTATAATGTGTAAACGACGGTTATAAAATAAAATTCGTTCATATTTATTTAACCTACTTAATTACTCAATCAAAACTGCCACCACAACTTACATCACAAATTATTCATATTTAAAACCAAAACTTTTTTTTTGCATTCGCTTTCAATAGTAAACAGGGGGGAAAATGCTAGAAAAAGTTGTTAATTTTTATTTCTTAGTTGTTAATTTTTAAGGCACCCATGGTATCCCTTGCTCTTAAGAAATATTTTAAGTTGATAGTTTTATTTTCTGTGATTAAATTCTTTATAAAATGTTTTTCAAATCATATGAATTTAAGGAAATTAAAATTTTAACTCTTAACGTCTGCTAAGAAGTAAAATCTTGAGTAGTTCTTACAGAAATTTCGTAGCAATTAGGGGGCACATACCGACGTAGCACTTATCGAGTGCATAGCGAATATACTTTAATTTGATGCATATTATTTTTTTTAATCTTATCAGTATCAATATAATCGTTCCATGTGATCTGAGATGATTCTCGATTATTGTAATCAGCCGAAAGATAAGTTCAAGTAATATTAATCAAATGGTTTTAGTTTTCCCTTCGTCATGATTTATCTTACACAAATATTATCATTACTGTGTTTATTGAGAACAGCGTTTTTATTTATCTTTCATTAATTTTTTTTTTCTTTCACTGAAGCATTTCTTCTGAGGATTTATCTATAACTTAAGCATTTCTTCGTTTATTAAAATTATTTTTAAGTTTATCGATTTCTTTTAAAACAAATATCGGGTTGTCTGTAAAATATTATTTTTCTTTCAATTGTAGACTATTACACAATTACTACCTATCTATAATTGAGACAGTAACATAATCACATTACGTTATTTTTTATTAATTAATTCACTGTATTTTTAGTTAAGCATTTCTTTAGAAGAATTTACCGGTTTTAATCATTTTTTTTAATGTTTATCAATTTTTAACCTCTTCTTTTATTATCCCGAGTTAACTCGGGTATGTATGTATTGCAAATATTTATTATCCCGAGTTAACTCGGGTATGTATATATTGCAAATATTTATTATCCCGAGTTAACTCGGCTATGTGTATATTGCAAATATTTATTATCCCGAGAAAACTCGGGCGTAGAAGAATTTGTTAGTACGCTTTGTTTTATTACGTTTTTACTCAGCCTGAGGCATAAAAATAATAATAAACTGCTATGATTGGAAGTTTTCCAAGTTTTGCTGTTGGATTGTAGGACTGTATTCTTGTTTTGTGTGATTGTAAATATGATGGTAGCTGAACTTACATTAAGAAAAGAGTAAGAAAAAAAATGGCGTATCACTTCACTGGCGTTGAAAAGTCTTGTTGTCCCTTGTTTTAGAAACTATCATACAAAGACTAATATTTAACCTTTTTCATTTACTCGAGATAAGTCGGGATGGTAAATCGATAGTAAATTAAATGTGTTTTACAAATGAAACAATTTACAATTTCAACTTAAAACTAGTGTGTTATGTTCTGTTTTAGTTTCTTGTATTATTAATAAAATAAAAAAATTGATTTTTTGCATTTTTTTTATAAAGAAATAGGTATGGGAAGCGGTTAAACAAATATCTATTTGTCTATAAACACTATAACTTTGAAATGAAATTTTTCAATTGAAGATCGTTAATCAATAGAACACTGTAAAATATTGCTTAATTATAACTAAATAGTAATGTAATCAAATTAGGTTATATTATTTTGTTTTACTCAGGCATTTCTTAGAAGAACTGCCGATTGCTTAAATCAATATTTTTACTTTTATCATTTTTTTAATACAAATATACATTCATCTAAAATATTTCCCCAACTTTTCAGTTATGACAACTTTGAAAATTGAAGATCGTTAGACAATAAAGGCTTAACTTTTGCTGAAATAGTGACTTATTCCAACTAGCTTTATTTTTACTTGTACAGTGCTTAAAAAAAAGCCCTGAATAACTTTTCATCTAATGCTCGAATTCTTACAATTATATGCATCTTGGCTACCTCTTTTACATCGGTATTACTTCATTAATTCGGATTCTGTATGCCTGAAGAAATTGATCTGAATATTTAATAGATATTCTGCTATAGATCTGTTTCATTGAGAGATAATGCATTTATATCTACCACCTCATCTTACAAATAACAATGTCTGTAGGGTAGATACCGGGTTAAATTTAGCAACTTTGATACATGACCAACAAAAATATAATACTAAGAAACAAGACGAACTCGGGCCACGATAGCTTCGTTGGTTGGGCGTTGGGCTCGTGTGAATGCCGCCGACCGAAGAATTCCCGTGTATTAAATAGTGACCGGTGAACGTTAAATCTGTCGGGGTCACTGACTCCTCCAAGTTCCCATAATAAATTAATACCTCTGGGGATAGTGAATTGGAGACTGATCGTTTTCTGGTTCAGATCAAAATTGCGATCTGGGGATGAATGAATGGGTCCTCCGGTTAAAACGGGTAACGATGTGTGTGTGGCTGAATTCGTATTCTTGGTAATGGAAGGCGTCACTGAAAAAAACAAGAAACGTACCATCTCCTCTAAAAATCCGCTAGGATTCCCATAGTATGCTTGCTGATATTTGCAAGTGGTATTAGTAACAACAGCAACAACTAGACAAACTCAGTCATTACATTGAAAACCTGAATACATCATTTTACAACACAGCTATTCACTGCTAACTTCAACACCATATTTCAACAAAAGCTTAAGTAACAGCTAAATCTAATCCAGACGCTGATCTTAGTGCCATTTACAAGCTCTAAAGACGTCAGAATGACACGTGTCAACAGCCTTCTTTACTAACTACATACATTAGATGTAACAATTTATATGTTGTTGTCGTTGGTCATTAAGCAGAAGGGGTGCGTTTGTTCTAGTTTTCCAGTGGCGCCATCTGTGGCCAAGAATTCGACTTCTGTCATACCCGTATGTCACGCCCGTTTTATTGGGAGAACCCATTCACACATCCACAGATCGTAATTTTGACCTGAATTAGAGAACGATAAATCTCCAATGCAGTACCCCCAGAGGTTTAATAATTTAGATATTAATTCACCAATGGATCAGACGGTGCAGGTATAGAGCTGTGGATAATAATTAGAAAATTTCGTAACAATAATCTACAAAAAAAAAATTTCAACCATACGTAATTAAAAATTTACTATCCTCAGTTTATTTGTTATTTTCCTCTTAGTTTGTCTTTTAAATAAATTGTTATGAAATAGATAAATCCAGTTTTACTTACAACAGATGTGACAGAATATTAATCCCATTTACAAAAGAACACAAAAATATATTCAATAAATATTTAATTACATTTAGAAACGACAAACATTTAGTTGTAAGTTTACGTTGCTTAACATTGATAGAATTTATTCACTTTTTCAATGTCCATGTCATCTAGGCCTGGTTTATTGTATGGGTCGTGCAAAGGCACACCGTTTTTAGCTTCCATGGTCATCAGCCTACCTTGTTGTCTGGAGTAGGCATAATTTCCGTACATCATAATAGAATTATAATTAAATAATGTGGGTGAAGCTTCATCCTCAAGAGGTATCTTGCTGAAGTTAGCTTCTTGACCTGAAGAAAACAAATCTACTGAATATTACAACCACAAAGAAAAATACAAATCTATGATCACAAATCCAAATCAGGTTGGTAATACTAGAATTCCTAATATCTAACTTTGTCCGAGAATTTAAAAAAAAAAATCAACAAAAAATGTGTGATCGCTTATTACGATTACTGGTTACCTATTGGTTAAATGCTTTTTCTTTCTGAATTGCCGACGTTAAACGCCACAACATTTCAAATCATGGGTTGCAAGAACTGTCCCAATTGGTTTTCAAATCCTGCCTATGTACGTGTTTCAAGACTTCACAAAATACTTTTCCTCTTTCCATATTTATATTAAAATCACCGTCAAGCCAGTAATTATACGTTAATAATGAAAAGAATATAAAAGTAATTTAAATTATTATTATGCAAATACGTCAAGAATGCCTGCTAGTGAAAATAAAAACAGCAGCGGTCACTATAGCAACGCATGCAATGACGACGCACGCGCACTGCTTACTCTTGAACACAGTTGAAAAGTGGGTGAACGCCATCAAATCCAAACCAAGACCCATTTTGCCGATGGGTAAAAATTTGAACAAAATGTCAGTCAAGGTTTTAGTTTGTGTCTGTTATAACCGATTATAAATGAAGTAAAAAACTGGATTATCGTGTTTTTTCTTTCCAGCTTCAATATTCATACAACAAGGGATGAAGGTTAATAGAGAATATAAAAGATAATCTCAAGACAAAATACCCTTGTCAAGAGAAAAACTTTATCAGCTTCGAAAATTAAATAGAATAAAAAAGTAGACCTGTTTCGAGTGCAAAGAACAAGACACCCATAACCTAGATCCACAATGCTCAGTCAAACAAAGCAGACTGTCATGGAAAGTTTTGGTGCTTGAAGAATTTAATGGATGTATTTTCAGTGGTCCATATTTTATTCCGGAGTGATGTAGGCAAGCAATTATTAATCAAAAATCGTAAATTGCTTAGTAAAGAATAAGATTATCTTACTATATGCAAAAATCTAATGATTGTGTTGCAGTTTTTCATTGTTGTCAATACATTATTATTGATTGGGAAATCACATGGTGGGATGCAGTTTTCCCACCTTAATTTTCATATTGGTTAGGTTGTCATCAGCATAAAATTGATGTAAGTCATAAAGTTATTGTTTTCCGATAAATATTTTTGTTTCCCCAATCTAAAGATTAAAATTACCTGTACTGTTATTATTACGTTTTTGATTTCGTTAGATTTCTAGATTAAGAGTTAAGGAGGACTGTTTTAATTATTTTTAGAATAACGTCATTCTACGTTACATTTTAAACTTAAGTTATTTAAATCGGTGTCTGATCTTATTAACCGTTTTACATTAATTATTTTTTGATGCAAATCACATTAATATACTACTAGGAGGCTTCGCCCCCTGCTCGCTGGAGCTCACCAACCGCCGGAACTGCTTTCGCATTTCATTTCGGATTGCTTCGCAATCCGATGCTCGCTCATTGCATACATTCTTAACGTCTAGCTTCGGTATACTTTTTTGAACACTGAAGTTCCGAAAACTTTTCACTGTAGAAAATTCTAAACCTGTGCATTTCAATATTAATTTGAAATTGCAAACAGTTCACATATTTTTCTTAATCACACTATTCTAAATTTCAGTTGTTGAGAAAAGTAACTGTTGCAAGTTTTGTTTTAAAGTCTTTCCCACCAGAGGGCTAAAACCATGTGTTGTAAAACAATATGAAATAGTACTGAAAACCGGATGTAAAGCATCGGCTTCGATGAAGATAATTTAGTGAGAATTTTTTTGATAATTCGGTGAGAATTCACCCGATTAGACGTATGATGCTCACTACATGCTCTTGCACGCCGAAGCCTATCAATTAAAAATGAAAACTGTTGCCAACGCGAGAAAAGAAATATCATCGGTTTTATTGATACATACGTATTAGCGTATATATAGATTATGAACTACTGTTAATGAGATTCGTAAAAATGGTTTGCAGCTTAACTTTCAACGCATGCACAAAGTGCTGACGGCAAAAAATGCATTTAAAATACATCCGTCTGTTTGGAAAGCAAAAATATTAAATTACAGTTGTGAACTCACCAGATTTGTTGTAACAATATACTTTTAATTTTAACAGTTATTTGAAAAAATGATTACTCTGAAAAAATTATTTATGTTCTCTTATAATCTTAATAGCATCATAAGGGAAATATTTGGAAGTGGGAAATGGAGTCACAAGTGGCTTTTTAGTGCACATATTTTAAGTTGAATAATTTCAATCGTTTTATGCTAAGAAACAGCAATTATTGCGAAGCAATCATCGGGGTTTGTGAGCGTCAGCGAACAGGGGGCTTAGCCCCCTACTAATAAATAAATTTATTTTAGTAATAAATAAACTTATTTTTGAAATTTATGTGGAGCTCTAAAGTAAAGATTAATCTTAATTTTTAACAAAAATATACATTATCAAATTAAAAATTTGAAAAATGGCCTGGAGGGTATGGCTGCAAGTCTAAGCACCACAGAACCCCTCCGTCCGCTAAGAAATAAAAAAAGGCGAGTATCATGTATACGTTAGCAGACTTTTTGCTAAGGAAAGTTAAAGAATCTATGTTATTAGCTATTAATTGATTAAATTTAATGCCAAGGCTGTTTTTCTTAGCCTTAAGCATTCGAATGCGTTGGTGGAAAAGAAATTGTGAGAAATAATAGCGAATTTTAATGAAATCAAAATATTAGCAACCCTATAGCGGTTTTCGAATTCTATGCCAATATGTTAGGCACATGTTGAGGGAATCTCTAAAAATGGATTTTATTCTGCAGTCAATTCAAAGTTATGCTATAAAATATTACAAATTATATTAACTATTATTATTTCTTGAAAAAGGATTTAATAAGAAAATAATTTTGTTTTTAAATGTGTGAAACATGTTAGACATATTTCAGCACAGCACAGACAATGCTGCTGTTGTGTTATTTATTTCATTTTTAATTTTTTAAAAAACATTGTGATGATTTTCAAGACAACTACAACCCTCTATAAATAATCACCCAACATTATTATATTGATCTTTATGAATTCCGACTTTCAGACATGAAAAAATCGAATCATTTTTATTAGCGAAGGTATTAAATTTTTATGCTTCCAAAAGTCAAACTACCAGTGACTAAAGGATAATTTTTTTTTCATCCAAGGAAAACAGCTTTGAAAAAACTTCTTGTTACCAATACTTAAAATGATATTACCCGATAATTTATCTTTATTTTAGTGGCACATTTAACAAGTTAAAAATTATAACCAAAATAACATTTAAAAAGTCTTTAAAATTTGATCATTGTTCTCATTCACGTATATCTTAAAGCTACTCTCCATAATAAACTGGTTTTCTACTCTTATGTACGCATTCTTGACGTTTGTTAAATTTCAATTTTCGTAATTGTAACATAATTTCTTCTAGGAATTCAATTTAAAAATACTTACAGACTTAAATAAATCTTCCATTTTTTCAGATCCCCGGAAAGCTTCAAAATTTTTAATGTGTAACTTTGTTACAATCCTTAAGAATGATGGGATTTTTCAAATCCTAGAATCTATATTACGCTAAACGGGAAGGTACATGTGTTTGAAAAGAATGTTTATTACCTGCAGTGATATTTCTGTGGTAAATGGTCAGGTAATTGTCTCTGTCTGATCTCTGATGCTCATGAAGAAGTCCGAGTGCATGACCAAGTTCGTGCACAATAGTTCCAATATAAAAGCACCCATCACCTAAAGTTAGGTCCTGGGAGCCCGTCTGACGTCCGACTACGGTTTTGCACCTGTTACAAAGAGAACTTATTTATAAATATAATATTCTATAATTTATTTGAATAAATTAATTAATGTTCAGAGTGGGTGTGTGGTAGTTTGATATGCACGAGCGTGCGAGAATAATAGGTTGTAACCAATAGGTTGTTGTCGTTGTTTGTCTCAGTGCCGTCCCACAGCCAACTGATCACTAAGACACGATTCCCAGTAGAGCACCGAAGTCAAGCATCACGATATGGTCAGTGTGCGGGTGGGTGACCACTTTGATCAACCTGAGAAGGGTGTGCAGTGTCGATCTTTGTTTAACTATTCTACCTTGAAGTGCTCGACTTTGCTCTCAGTTCGTCGAGCTACCGAAACAAAGGTGTCCCTCTGCAGAGCATCGAAATTGTGATGGCATGTCCTCGGATCATCCTCAGGGATGTTTCGAAAATAGCCCATTGTCAGGGCCGGATTAACCTATAGGCACACTAGGCACGTGCCTAGGGCCTACGAAATTCAGGGGCCTACGAAAAACTTGGGAGAAAAAAAAATTTGTTGACAAAAACAATTTAGCTTTAAAAACAACATGTGCATTTTGCACAAAATTATGAAGATACAAATAAAAATATAATATTTTTCGGTAATAAATTATTTTACAGAATCTTATGATCTAATATATTACTTTTTTGGATTCAACGAAATCTTGTATTATGCTGTCGAATTCCAAACTACGCAAAATGTCGTATTCAATAGACATAAGAGCGAGCGATGCCAAACGATCTTGATTCATTGTTGAACGCAAATAATTTTTTATCAATTTTAATCTGGAGAAAGATCTTTCTCCTTCTGCATTTGATCCAAGAATCGACAAATATATTCTTAATGCAATGTGAACGTTAGGAAAAGTATTCACAAGTTTATCTTTAATTTGAGCCTTCAACATTTCTTGTGCAGATTTATGTTCATACAAATTTGAAAATAGTAAAAATTCATCTACAAAGTTTTCCTCTAAATCGGATGAGTAAATTTTCACCAAATTTTGCGCTTTTAGTTTAATCTCAGATTCTGACAAATTTTTGTGTAATTTCCTTGTAATTCGGGTTCGATAAAACATCGATTAATGACACTTTTTGGTCGATCCAGAAAACTGGGAAATTCAGACATCCGGGATAGCGATGGTCCCGAGCATCCCAGATAATTGGTTCTCTACTGTATAAATATTTCTTGTAATTAATCTCACTATCAATTTCACTGTTTTCTTTGCTGGTTTGTTGTTGTATTGTTGACGTGAAGTGTTTACATAGTTATCGATCGAACTAATCATAATGGTATTATCGATATCAACTGCAATATCGGCAGTATGTCGGTATTGCAGATAAAGTTCGATAAACAAATTTGTAAATTAAAATCCATATTAATAAAAATGTAAAAAAAATATGCAAGAAAATTTTAGCATATATTTTGAAAAGAGGGGAGGAGTGGGGGAAGGAGGGGAGGGCCCCAAAACGGCTGTGCCTAGGGTCTACGAAAGGTATAATCCGGCTCTGCCCATTGTGCAGCTCTTGTGCGACGTAAATCAAAAGCTAAAGTTTTAGTGCTAAATAATTCAGAAAAATTAATTGGTAATTGGCTCTGAAAAGCACTAGATTGAAGTTTAATTCCATCAGGCGTAACTATTAACGTAGCTGCTACTAGAATAAATTTTTGCAAGAAGCGTAAAAAGTAGGCAGTCGTAAGCTAACAATGTTTTTTGGTTTAAATGAATAGTTTGAAATGGTAAGTTATCATGGTAGCTTTGATTGAATAATTCAAGGATCATTACATAAACAATAAGTAATTAAATTTCTGCAACTTTTTTACATTTATAGTCGCCTGCGGCATCCCTTTTAATGGGAATAAAACACATGTATGAGAAATGAGAAATAATTTTAAAAAAAGTATTGACAGTCAATAAATATAATCTGACCTGTTCCCTTTTCGAATTCTAATGTAATCACTCTGAGTTGTTCTTGGTACAAATCTCACACAAGTAAGCATATTGTATTGTTCCATAGCTTCCTCAATAAGGTCACGTTGGCTTGCTGAAAAGAATATTTTAGTAATAATAATAATTATAAGAAAAAGCAAACACTTCTCATTATATTCTGATCTTAAATAAGTATACTTAACATTTGTTGAAGATAAATGTATACGATATATTTGAATTCCATTTGTTTTAACAGTCTTTAGTGTCAAAAATCAAAATACAGACGCTATAATACTGCAGTGATGCCGAGGCGACTAAAAATGTAAAAAGTGGAAGAAACTCAATTCTTTAGAATCCTCTTTAATTAGTCAATCGAAGCTACCCATATGACTTACATTTTTAATTATTCATGTCTAAAAGGAAAATATTTTATAAATTTATTTTCAGTAGAAAAATGAAACAATATATTAGATTAAGTTGCTTATTTAACGACTGTTAATAAAATTTTGTCTTCGATTTGTCAACACCTTACACAGACACTAATTATTGCTATTACTTCGTATATACATTTCCATTATTTAAACGTGTTATTTTTTCAAAAAACTTAAGACGGGTATATTATTTATTTAGTTATTTGAAATTATATTGGATAAGCAAGAAATGCGTATCTACCAACTTAATTCGATTGTACTAAATTTTGAATTGGTTCTGAAAGAAGATCTCTGTACTTTGGGGCCACCTTGGCGAGCGGTATCGCCCGCCAAACACTGTGCAAAGCGTGGAGGTAGGGGTTCGAATCCCGCTATTACCCTAGATGTATCTTCGTTCTATCTGTCCTTCTAGTTGACAAAGGCTTATGGGCCTAAATTGAGCACACGAGCCTGCAAATGGATGTAATTTCAATAAACCACGACCCATCATCAACTTATGGTTCAATTTTAGAAAACAAATTTATGAGGAAAATGACTGGAGCCCCATGGTTCGTCAGAAACGAAGATTTGCTAAATGACTTAAAAATTATACCCATAACGAAGAAAGAAAAGCAAAATTCTATTAAAAATGCAATAAGTTGCGACACAACAAATTTTAATAGCATCTTTAAAATTGAACTTATCATCGATTACAGCCCCTCAACAAACTTCTTGCTTTCCGACGGCACTCAATCAAAATTCTTTTGTAAATGGTGCTAATCGTTTTCTGTTTATCTTTCCCGATTTAATATTTAATTCCAAAAAAGACAAGTCGTCCCCTCTGTGCACCTGCGAAGAGCAATACGGAGGCGAGGCAGAAGGATGGATGTAGTCTTAGTCTACTCCCTTATTAGTCATTGATTTTGATTATTTGTGAACATCTCATTCGTATCGGCCCTTGTAAATATTCGATCCGCTACTTGTAAATATTTATTTTTCCTTCTTGTAAAAAATTTTATTACATTATTCGGTTTTTTTTTGTGTACATAAATCACATTATTATACTTACAACTCAGACTTAATTCATTCGCTGCCTATGGCAAAAAAAAAAAAAAAATTAGAGACAGGTACCGTTAGGCACACCTCGAAATCTACTTTGACATTAAACTAGTGAAATATTTTTCACTCTAATTGGTAGGGCTACCACTTTTTACGCTCTTTGGGTAAATATCATCCAGTGGTAGCTGAGTTAATGTTTTAATATTTGATTTTATGTCTTGTAATTTTAAGTTTTTCCCCACAGCATTATATGTAAATGATTCTAAAGTTCATACCAAGCGACATTTTGTTCTATCTCCTTCATGGAACAGATTTTAAAATGTTGGCAAAATTGGCAAAAATTCTGAAAGCTTCAGTTTATAACTGTCTACCACTCTTTAAGATAGCTTGCAAAAAAGTAGCAGTTGGTAGTCCTGGATTAGTAGCGAAATGAATAAAATAGTCAAGCAATTTCATCACAAGTGTTCTATCACTTTATTCATAAAGGTGATTTTCTCCTTATTACAAAATCTAAGTTCGGTGGGTAAAAGGTTAATTGCTTATGTATTGTGGTTGACAATTCATTGTATATCATCTTTATTGTGGCAAAAAAAAGCAGAGTAACACTGCTTGCCACTTTAATGACTCAAGGAAAATCTCTTGATGAAATGAAAGAGCTTATTAGGTTTTATTATAATTAATTATTTTAATATCACTCATACATATTTAATGTACATATATTTTCACACATTTTAATATCATATACATATTTAATTATTCACTAATTATTTTATTTCAAGATCATTTACTCAAAACTGCATTCTTAGACTAAACATAGTTTCATATTGATTTTACTTGTTTTTTTAAGAGTAGCAAAGATTAAATATGTCCTAAGGCATGTCCACACTACCCCCATGACATATGACTGGTGTGAGTTAAATTTTTTTTTAAAAATGATAATTAAAATTTATGCATCCAAATTATTCACTAACTCATTTAAAATGAAGACTGGCACTCAAGTTTTNATTCACAATCACCTTTATTGTGGTAAGAAAAAGCAGAGTAACACTGCTTGCCACTTTAATGACTCAAGGAAAATCTCTTGATAAAATGAAAGAACTTATTAGGTTTTATTATAATTAATTATTTTTATATCACTCATATATATTTAATGTACATATATTTTCACACATTTTAATATCATATACATATTTAATTATTCACTAATTATTTTATTTCAAGATCATTTACTCAAAACTGCATTCTTAGACTAAACATAGTTTCATATTGATTTTACTTGTTTTTTTAAGAGTAGCAAAGATTAAATATGTCCTAAGGCATGTCCACACTACCCCCATGACATATGACTGGTGTGAGTTAAATTTTTTTTTAAAAATGATAATTAAAATTTATGCATCCAAATTATTCACTAACTCATTTAAAATGAAGACTGGCACTCAAGTTTTAAAGGAAAAAAATACTAGATATACCCAAAATACTGATCTGTCAACCTTTTTCCTCTAAATTATAATATCTGTCAAAAAAACTTTTTAAATTAATTAAATTAAAAACTACATAACGATAAAAATATATAACCTCTTTTTCAACTCTTGCGTTTATATTTTAAAAGCAAAATGAGTTTTACGTGTTTCGTAATTCCAATTTACTTTTTAAAATTAATTAATCTCGTTTTTTTTTTTTTTTTGGAACTCCTAACACTATTATATTAATATATATTTTGCTTTCGTGATGAAAAATTGGAAAGCACTTTTTTTAACGGGTATAACAATGTGAAGTGAGAAAAAGGTAATAGTACTTCATTTTTATGTAGTTTTTAATTAAATGGAAAAATTCTGCTTTTCTTCTTTCAACTGATGCAACGAATACAAATATTGCTTAACGAAGCTTAAACAATATTTGTATCCTTTACATTTTATGCTAATTGAATAAATACGGCTTATCCCAGTTTGTACAGTGCCCAAAATTTTAAAAAAAGGACTACCCTGAATAACTTTTGATCTAATAATCGGATTGTTACGCTCTAAGTCTCAATCTGAATGGTTGGAGGAGGTGAAATCAAGCAAGCTAATAAATTAGTGCAGACGATATTTTAAGTTACGAAATCAGACACAAAAACGTACTTTCTCTAAATAAACAGATCCTTTTTTCGACAAATTTGGATTTCAGGTACCCAAAATATGGGGGGTAGCAGCACTCTGGGAAATAGAGTCCGCCGTAATTCGATCAAGAGAGCTGTCTAAACTTTGGAACCCTAAATGTTAATCACTATATCTCAAGGACTTCTAAAGTGAATTGAAAAATGTTTGCACACAATTATGAAATTCATTAGTTCAAAGATAATTCCATGCAAATTATATAACTTTCCGTGAGTATTTATTATATTTTATTTAATAATGGTCGAAAATTATTTTATTAAAGGGCAAAAATACTACCCCCTCCCCCGTAAAAAAAAACGTAAAGTTGGCAGCCATGCATGTATATAGTCATAAAGCATAGTTATAGTTTTTTATGAATAAATTTTAAACTATCAACTTACATAGGGAGCTGTCAACTACATAAGGTACTTCAGCACTTCCAGGAAATCCAGGCCAACGATACTTAGTGTCTCTAGCACCAATCTACCTTATNAAAAAAAAAAAAAAACGCAAAGTTGGCAGCCATGCATGTATATAGTCATAAAGCACAGTTATAATTTTTTATGAATAAATTTTAAACTATCAACTTACATAGGGAGCTGTGAATTACATAAGGTACTTCAGCACTTCCAGGAAATCCAGGCCAACGATACTTAGTGTCTCTAGCACCAATCTACCTTATAAGAAATAACAAAATGTTTAAACAAATCATTGCAACTAAATAGCAATTGCAACTACATTTGCTTTGCAACTACAATGATCAACGTTATTGGAAATTTTCAATAAAATCTAAAAACAGTTATACAGAGTGCGTTAAAAAGTACGCTATGAATAAAAATTTAAGTTATAGGTTCAAACAAAGCCAAAGTTATAAACTAAAATTAAAACAAACTTAAATACTTAAAATACTTCACTACAGGGTTACCACTGGTGACAAAAAATGCAAAAAGTGGTGACTAATAAAATTCAAATTTTTTTAAAAAAGAGATTAACATCATTACTTGGTTTATTTTTTTTCCAGTTTACTTAAGAGTATTCACACCAACTTTTTTTAAAAAATATGAATAATTTGAAATGTGGTAGTTACGATTGTCTAATTAAAGTGATAAATAAATAAAAGTGAATTGAGTTTCCACCACTTCTTACAGTTTCTGTGTCATCCCTGTTAATTGTACTCTTCAACATTTAAGTTAAGTGCAAAGAATTTATATATTAGTGGTAGCCAACTAAAGAAGAAAATTTTCAAAGAAATAGTAGTTTTATTAAACCTTTAACGCATGAAAGTACTTCAGTTGACCTGAATTTCATCTGTTGAAATTATTTATATGTAGTGGTGAACAAAATTCTTTTAATTTATTTGAATTATTAATTTTATTAATTATTTTATTGTCATTAACTATATATTTTAATTTATTTAAATACACAAAAATTGACTTTGTTTGGAGGCTAAAAAAATCGAATAAATTAAATAAGAATATTCTCGTAAACTAAGAAAATTCCATAAGGCACTGCAGCGTCCTCTTAAAAATAAAATAGTGGTAGCAGGATCATGTTATTTTTCGCAGATTTTTGCAAGAGACGTTACGATTAAAATTCCGCAAAATATTGACAGATTANTAAGAATAGTGGTGATCAAAATCATTTAAAAATTAAATTTATTAAAGAAAAAATAGTATATATTTACTACCACTTTAAATATGAAAATAAAATCTCCCGCAAAATCCGGGAGAGTTGGCAGGTATGAAATAAGAATATTCTCGTAAACTAAGAAAATTCCATAAGGCACTACAGCGTCCTCTTAAAAATAAAATAGTGGTAGCAGGATCATGTTATTTTTCGCAGATTTTTGCAAGAGACGTTACGATTAAAATTCCGCAAGATATTGACAGATTAAGTAATAATAATTATTTTCAAAACCGGTAGCGTTGTAATTTTTCAATTAAAATGAAAGCTAAAAAATCAATATTTTGTAGGCTTTAAATCAAATTAAAAACTTCTGGTTGTTAATTTTAAGTAAATTAGCTACCACACAGAGATAATAGATATTAAGTAAAGTGATAATTTAGTTTCAGGGGGTTAAAATTCACAATTCGAGATCAAAAAAAGAAAATATCCAATATTATAAAAACTTTAACTTACACCATGGGAAAAGCCTCTCGGGATTATCATGTCACTTTCTGAATATAGAGCTCTGTGAGCCTGCTCTGTTAAAAGAAAACAAAATTTGCCTAATGAAATACGACTTTCATATAATGAATATTAAAAAGACGCAGTTATTGCATTATAAACTATCACAGATAAACTAACATTATAAACTAACCACATGCTTATAACTGAAAGCCTCCACACGGTTTCTTATAGGTAGTCCCATCAGACCACTATTGTTGAGGATTTATAATAACAGATGGCGCTGAGCGCAAACAATTTTTTTATTATTTTTTTCTGCACTTCTTAAGTTTCAGTTTGGATTTAACCACTGAACCACAATGAAATAAAATCCTTTTTATTATTACAATTTGTGTAATTATTGTTGAATTCGATTCAACTATGAAGGTATATCAGTTTACGAAAGAGCCCTTTAACAGAAAATCTAGTGAAAGTAAGAAAGAGGTAGCAAATATATGTCTGAAAATTTGTTTCATTTATTAATTCGATTGGTTTGTCTTATTTACTTGTCAACCACTTCAGATTCAATTCTCAAATATATGTGATAAATTTCTTCTCATCAGCTTCAAAATTAGAAGTCAGATTCATGCGCACGACTTGTTCACTTTCAAAATAGTCTGCGCAGATTCCTTATAAAAAACCGTGCGGAGGTTTTCTGGTGTAGGAGGTGATGGCTCTGACCCCTGCTCGCTTCGCTCACCAACACCCATAATTGCTACAATCACTCATTTTTTGTTTCTGTGATATTTAAATTAATAAGTCATCGATTGAAAGTTTTCGGGATATTTCTGTATCATGATCTGCCACACTAACTACTACCGCCAATGATAAAATGAATTTTAAACTTACAATTAAAAGAAAAATTGTACAGGTTTCCCCTGGGTGGCTACGAGCTTTACCCTACAAGTTGATCCCGTTTTTTTATTTTTTTTTTATTTTTTTCCTTTTTTTTTTTTTTTGGTNATTTAAGGCTTCACTTTTTTTTTTTTTTTTTTTTAAGTTTCTTGCTGGTTGATGCCCGGAAGTTGCTATGACTTGGCAATTATTCTGCCTCAAATCATGACACGGAAATCATCCCAAGTTCCGCAAATTTTTTTTATTGCCATAGATTAGATTTCACGGATTTAGTTTCTGATTTTACTGTGAGAAATTTTATTTCGAATCACTTTGCTCGGTTACCATTAAAACGTCATATCTATATTATGTAAAATAATAATGTGTGTATTGTAAAAAAGACGAAGGCAACAAAAAAAATACTAAGCGAGTGAGCAGTCGTAAGCATGAAGAAGAAAAAACATTACTGTAAATGATATTCAAGTATACACAGATAAATAGGCTATGAATTGTCAAATAAATTAAAAAAATTTTTTTAAACGTCTTAGTAATAAATAAAGTGAAACTTGCTTATATATTTCCTCTATTTTTTTAACTTCATCAACGGTGAAAAAAAGACAAGTAAGAAAAATATTTAAATGCTGTTTGTCAAAGATTAGCTGTATATTTTATTTCTTCATTTAAAAGCTACATTTTTATTATTTTCTGGATTTTTATCTTAATTTCATAAAAATATTCCTTCGAATGCTACATTAATGAATTCTTTCAAAGCAGCAATTTTATATATAAAAAATTTCAGAATAATCTTTTACAGTACGTATAGTTATGCAATTAAAACTAATGTCTAAGCAATTATATATAATAATTACTTTTTCGCAAGTGTTTCATCATCAAAAAATAAATAATTGAAAGGATTAAAAAATATATGCATATATAAGCATATATTAAATTTATTTTTATGTAGTAGTAGAAAAAATCTTCCAAAATTTAGTTTATTAAACATGTTATAATAACATGTTAAATTATAAAATTTACTACCACCACTGCAAATATTCAGATAAAAAAGTTCCGTTAATTTAAAACAAGATGGCAAATATGGTTATTACCATTTAGTTAATTAAATTAATAAAATATGAAAATATACATTTTTTTACATTAAGAAAATAGTTTACAACGTTCAATTTTATTACACTAATAATTTGATTTTATATAAGGTTTTAGAAAATGTTAATTTGCAATTGGCTTAACCATAATAGCTTATTTTATATACAAGGAACGGAGGATTATGAGTAATTCTTACGTAAGTCACTAATGCCATAATTTTCCACTTTTTTTAAATCGCACGGGGAGATTTCCGTATCGTGATCTGTGGTCGAATAATCGCTAAGTCTTGGCAACTTCCAGGCAGCGACCCGCGAGAAACTATAAAAAAACATCACAGAAAGGGACTAACTCGAAAGGTATAACTCGTAGCCACCCCCGGGCAAGCATCTACATGTGTTTTTTATTTAAAAATTGAAAATTTGAAATCTATTTGGCACCTAGGCGATTGCAGTTGGCGTGACAGATCAAGATACGGAAATATTCCCTATCGCACAAATGCAACAAATGATTTTGAAAAAAAAATTGCACTTGGAAAAAATTGAAATAAAGTTCAAAGCGAAATTAAAGAAAATATAGACGATTTAAATCATTTTTACATATACCAAATATTTTTTCTACTTATAGGAAATATGCTTGGGTGTTAAAAGCCTTAGAAACTTATAAGTTAAAACAGAAGTTAATTTGAGAGAATTTAAACACGACTTCTCCGTTTTTTCTAGGTTGCGACAATCCTGTATTATATCGAATTGTTTTTCAAAACCATAATAAAAAAGATAGGTACCCATTTCTTCCAAAGATTGAGGACCATAATCCCTTATCACAAACGGTATGCTGATGTTTTGCCAAGAGGGTGGTTGGTCAAACGAAGATTTCGGAACCAAATAAAGTAAAGACCAGACGAAATTCCACAACATGGTCGGTAATGAATCAGTAAACCGAATACCATCGAAAAGGTCGAAATTTTATTCTAAATACTAATTTATCTTTCATTTTCGCTTAGCATTAGTAATTCGATATTAGTTGAGAAATCTTCCCAAGTTCCAACAAATCGCCAAGGATCTTATCTTCGTGCATCCGGTTGTACTAATATCGTTTACCCTATGTGTTGAATGCTTATTTCAGCTTTTCTACTTTGAGAATTCGTAAGCAGAGTTCATTTTTTTTATTGTTTTGTTTAGTCTACACGAATGTAAGCAATAAAATAAGGATATGAATACACGTCAGAGACTAAATAATCAAGTCACGGCAAATTTTACGCATTCTATTATGAAATTGTAGTCGTAAATGTTTTTATATTGTTTTGATTTGCTGGAACTAGAATTATTTATAAAAATAACAAGCAATTAAATTTTTTCAGGGCTAGGAAAATGCTTTGATTTTATACTTATTTACTGACGGTACTTCGAAGTACCACTTTCATATTTCAAAAATAAAATTTTAAAAAATAAATAAATAAAAAAGGCAGTAGCAAATTTTAATTATTTCCTAGGGAATAAAATTAATAAAAAAGACAGTACCAAATTTTAATTATTTCTTAGAGAAAAAAATAAATAAAAAAGACAGTAGCAAATTTTAATTATTTCCTAGGGAATAAAAAAATAAAAAAGACGGTAGAAAATTTTAATTATTTTCTAGGGAATAAAATTAATAGAAAAGGCAGTAGCAAATTTTAATTATTTTTTTGCTCCAATTTGAAATAACCGTTATGTACTAGCAATTCATAATCATTCATATTTTGTTTCAGGCTTTTGTGACTTTTATAAAATTAATGTCATTGAAAATAACTTACTTGCCATTTAGTTCAGAGGCAAATAAGCTACAATTTTTTCGTCGTTGCTACGTGCTTGTATCCCAAAATAAAATTAAGTCGTTCTTTAACCCTTTGATGAAGAGTTTTTATTGAACATATTTAGGTCAAAATAGGTCAGTCAAGTCTAAATTGTAGCCACAGTTACTTATTTCCTCGTTAACATTTATTTGAAAGAACCGAGATATTTTTATTCACCGTAATGTACTAACAATTTAACCATTCATATTTGTTTAGGACGTGTTAGAGAATTAAAAACAACCTGCTAACTCTTACGCTTTTTGAAAGATATTTTGCAGTGTTTTAGACGTTTAAAAATCAAAACCTGCGGGCCTTGAAAATTTTAAAAAGCGGTAACGAAAATAAAACAAATGTTCAAATTTTAATTTCAGTGTAATCACCACTAAAAATTGTTTTCCAAAGAAAGTATATATTCATTAAAACTTAAGTTTCTAAACTACTTAACGATTAAATGGCATCTTATCTTAACCCCTTGGGGACGGGTGATTCAGAAAAGCATTCGTAAAAAATCAGAATCAAGTTGTAATTAAATAAAAAACGGTTACTTAAATGTAGTCGTTGCTAATTTGACGGACTTTGCTTTTACTTTAATTATTGTTAGTTTAATCATGTATATAATCAATGTCATCATCATCATCATCGAAATATAACTGGGCGCCTGGGGCCGTTAGCGGCCTTTTTCCCATTCATCTTGTATTTAATCTTTAAGGTGGTTCTTTCTGGTAACTGGAATAAAAGGAAATCAAATATTTTGTATTTTAGTTAAAATTATGTCACTACAAAAATGAGCTGCAATCGGCCTGAGGTTTATGTCTTCTCTTAAGTTTTCGAACGTAAAAATTTCGTTGAATCCTGCGGTGTCACAATATATGGTCTTTTCAAAAAATCTGGAGTTTTGCTTTGCAATGTGATGATCTAAAAAATCTATGTTGAGGTCGCTATGTATATTTTTATTGCGGATAAACCATCTTGCTTTTGTTATTTTCCTGAGGATTTTGTTCTGGCATATTTTAAGTTTTTTTAAGGAGTGATGTAGAGATGTTGCATCAAGCTATATAATCAATGTTTATTCAAAGTGTAACTAAATAGTTTTATTTTGAACAAAGTAATGGTGAATTAAATAAATCAAACAATTATAACTCGGCCCAGAAATAAATTGCTAAAGAAATACATTGATTACCAGTTTTATCTTTTTACCCTGATTGATACGGTTTCATGCTGGCACGTATTTGTGACAGTCGGCGCGAAAGGGTTAAAATAAGAATTATCTTCTAGCATTAACTTAAGTTTACTACCACTGGAAAAACTTTTCAAGAACCACAGGAATCCTGTTTCAAGATTCTTGATAATTGTGCTAACATTCTTAATGTCTACAAGAAATATTCCACATCATTTCCAACATTACAAATGTTTACATGTCTACAAAAATAAGTCACGAAAGAATTAGTTTGTTGGAATTACGTACATTTGTAGGCTCGTGTGCTCAATTTAGCATATGAACCTTTGTCAAATAGAAGAACCACACGAAGATGCATCAGGGTAACAGCGGGATTCGAACCAGCTACCTCCACGCTATGCATAGCATATGGCGCATGATACCGCCAGGCCAGGGAGGACCTAAGGAATTGGAATAAAGTGGCGTTGTATATGAACGTTTACATCATTTACATGTAGTGGTGGAGAAAATAAGTGTAAATGAATAAAAAATAGCCTGTAAAAACTTTAACTTAGCTACCACTAAAATAATTTTTAGCAAAAAGTTAGCAGCCCTGAGACTATTCAAAAAGTAAACCAGCTTTTCCCTTAAGCAAAATTTTATTATGAAAAAAAATTTCAGAAAAACATCATTTTTTAATATTTATATATTTGATGAATTAATTTGTAGTGGTTGACAAGAAAATAAGACAAATCAATCATATTCACTAATTAAACAGATTTTAATACATATATTCGGTCGTTCGGAAAGTTTGTATGCATATCAAACGGTCTCGAGAAACATGCATTGGACCAAAAATGTAAAACTACACGCCTGATACATTTTCAAAGGATTCATTCAATAGTGATACCAAACTCGACCTTTTAATATCATCCCCTGAAAAGTGGGAGTAAATCCCAAATTAAAATTAAGGCTTCGAATATATGTGGGAAAGTTAATTAGAATTAGCTAACTACACCCCAAAGTAAATAAATGCCAATTTAATTTACGAAAATTACTGCCAAAGAGAATTATCCTAATTATTTTAATTGCATGAATACGATGAAGTCTAAAGGTCGATTTTTGAAGGCTACGTCATCATATGAAATGATGTTTTTCTGCAAATAATAAGTTATTTTCATAACTGCTGTGAGTTTGCAACAGTCTGTTAGAAGAAGTTCAGCCAATCTAAAGCTGGCGCTTATTCTGAAAATGGGCGTCATAACGTCAATTGGGAGAAAAGTCACAGTTTTGTGGAAATGAAAAGCGTTTGTGGTCTAATTTTTTAATATTTGAAAACTGCGAAAACTTAGAATAAGGAAATGGTTTTGATAATTTTCCTCTTGGTGAAAAAATGCCGCCAAACTGGCGATTTTTAAAAAAAGTTTTATAACCTTTTAATATATTTAAGTAATTCGTCCGTTCTGAAGCCCAAATAATTCTTCACTGTAAGAGCATGTATATATATATGTAGTTTAAAATCATCGTTTTGCTTCCAGTGTTAGGCATTTAAAATGTGTGTTTTTTTACACCTTGGCGACAAATCTTCGAAAAATCATGTTAAGTTTTTGGAATGGCTACCGAGCGAGCAGTGGTAAAAAAAGATGGTTTCCTTTCATCAATCGCCAATCTATTATTTGTTAATTAAGTTAAAAGAGTTGAATTTTTTTTTGTCAAATTCCTCTGCAATTTTACAGGATGGATAGACACTCTTCTATTTTTTTTTTTTTTACTTAATTCAATTTATAAGCTTAATAGGAAAATTACTCGCTTATGAGTGATAACATTCTTACCAACACTCTTTTGTTAATTATCAAAGAATCTAGATTAAAATTTGAAATGGCAGTTCTGAGACTTATGTGAATATTAAGGTAGCAAATTAAAACTATTATTTTAGGACCTAAATATTAAGAAATGGATTATTTTAGAACATAACTGTTAATGAAAATAATAAAAATATTAATAAACGTAAAGATATGTCAACATTGCTTAAGCAACGAACTAATTCATATTATTAAAGAAATCCAGTTCAAATATTCTATTCAATTCAATCTCAATTGTAGTGACAACATTCAAAAAGTAGTTTGTAGTCACTGCATTTTAAAAAAAAGTAGTTGCAGTTAGCTATTAGGCACTTACACGTCAGAAAAAAGAAGACACATGTGACATATGACGTCAGCAGCAAATCTTTATCAGCAAAATGGCATATTAAAGTTGAGCTAAGTTTCTCTGCATAAGTTAGAATGCTAATTAACGATAAGTAAATTAAATACAGAAACGTATCGCACATCGAATTAGTTGAAATATAGTTCTTTCTCGTCTGCATCTTTTACTTAACTTAGATTTATTGTTTGTTTAAATGTTTTATTGTAACCGTGATATATTTTAGTTTTGCGTACCTGGCAACTTCGTTTTATAATTAATTTGTTTATGTTCCACATGGCTTCAGGCCTCTCTTTGTGTTAAGTCTCTGTGTAAATATATCGCGAAAGAATTGAAATTTTTGAGGAAGAACCTTCGCGAAAGAATTGTGAATGTGTCACTTAAGAGAATTAATACTTGACTGGCTTGGTTTACTCGAAATAGAATTTAAGGAACAGTTGCTAGAGCAGACAAATGCCACGTTTCACCAACCAATCAGGATCGAGCTACGCACACTATGTCATTTGCTGGTATCCCATTGTAATAAAGTAGTAATAGTTGTAGTTAACTAAAAAGAAAATGTAGTTTTTCCGGCCACTGCTTTCTGTTATAGGAGGCTTTGTGCCTAACATCACTATGAAGTTCAAATATGCTTTTATTTTACAGATTATTCCAGTCCCTAGTTTTCAGAGATTATTTGGATTAGAAATATGGCAGAAAATTTGGTTCTAAGTGAGCAGATGAGCGATGTTGTTTTGAAAGTGAGACACAATGGATATTCATGGAGATTTCCGGGACATTCCTTGTTGTTAAATGCTCGTTCTAGTGTGCTTCGGGACATCTTAGAACAAAGAGCAGACGATGCCTATGCTTCGCCGATCACTATTGTAGGACTTGAACCAGAAACTGCAGTGGCAATACTCAGGTATGTCTTACTTTATTGAAAGAGAAACTGAAGCGCGAAAAAGCTTTTTTTGTGCAAAAGTAACTAACTTTGATTTAAATAAAGCTACTAATCACAATTTGAAAGTTTGAACTAAATGATCAGAGCGCGATCTCGTCGACTAGCAAGTAGCTAGTTTTAAAAAAAAAGCAAATCCAAGTTACATAAAATCGCTGTAGAGAAAATTGTTAGTAGTTTCTGATATAACGGTGGTGGCTCAGGGGATAGAACTTTTACCTTCCAATGAGGTGAACCTGGTTCGAATCCCAGCGATGGGTGGTCGATACGAATTTCGCACTCGGCTCACCCGACCACATTGTTGACGTAAAATATCCTCCGTAGAAGACGTATCATGGGTTAAAGTCTCCTTGCCATTAGGCTAACCGTGGGAGGTTTTCGTGGCTTTCCTCTCCATGCAAAGCAAAAGCTGGTTAGTTCCTTCCTTTTTCTACTGATATTAAAAAATGGAATCATGCTCTGATCAAGTAAAATTAATTACATAGAAATTTTTAATTTTCCTGTATATTCGGAAAACATGAGATCCACTCATTTTCAAGCCTTTAAGATCTTTTGTTATTAATGCACAGGATTAAGCAAAATTATCTTTCTATGCATCCTAAATTTATGTTATGTATTAACACTATTATAAACTATTATGTATCCTAAAATCTTCAATTCTTTAACTTTCAAAAAATAGCTTTTTAAAATTTTGTGATCCTGAACAATTAAATGTTTGATAGTTATATGCATTTTTTTAATCTTTTTCTTAGAAGTTACATCGATTTCAGAAAATTTTATACAGCACATAAAGCATATATTTTTATTTATTAATTGCTTGTACCTCAGACCAATATAAACGCATTTTTATTACCTAAGCCATATTTTTTTGCTTTTTATTAAACAATTTAAACTTTACACATATACTTTCTATGGTTATTACATTTGCTCAAATACAACTCAAAATTATTTTCAGATATATTTACTCTGGGACATTACCTACAAAAGTAACAGCGAATCTGATAGCAGCTGCTGAAAAATATGATCTAGAGAGTCTGAGAGATTATCTTGAAGAAATGGTAATAACAGATCTAACCATACAACAAGCCTGCCAAATGCTGAATGGATTCGAACATGAGCTGCCATTGACAGACGATTGTGCCTTGAAAACGGCCTGCTTCACTCTTCTTGAATCACATGCCTACACCGTTTTCGCATCAGATTCAGTGTTGAATCTGAGTAAAAACACTTTACTAAGACTTTTGGAGTCAGACAAATTAAATGTTCCAGATGAATCGGTTGTTTTTTGGGGAATATGGCGTTGGGGTATCTACAATAGTTCTCGTAGTGGTCGAAGCTTGGAGGATGGTAATGTTTCAAGCTATATTCATGATATTCTCAGTCTATTACGGTAAGCAAAATATTTGTTTCAAACTTTTATTTTTTTTAAGTTCTAAGTTCTAAACAGTTTAAAAATTGTTTTATTTATTGAAATTTTATTGAAAAACAAAATGTTCGAATTATAACGGAACGTTTCTCTTCTGTTAGGGCTGTTTGAAACACAGATATAAGCAAAATGTAATTCTAAAACCATTTCATATCTAGTCCTATTTATGAGTACTAAACCGTGGCTACCAAGAATTAATAATAGTTATAAGATAACTGGGTACTTGTACTTCAAGAAAAAGATCACAATACCAACACATGTGACCTATGACGTCTATGTCAGCTGATCGTTTATAAGTAAAATGGCGTGCTAAAGTTGAGCTAAGTTTCTCCACATAAGTTAGTTAAAATGTTAATTAACGTGAAGTCAATTAAATAAAGCTCCTTATCACGCATGGAATTTGTTGAAATATAATTCTTTATCATCTACGCCTTTTATTTTAACATAGAATTATTATTTGTTTATGTATTTTATGGTTATCGTGCTATATTTTTAATTTGCGTATCTGGCAACTTCGATGCATAATTAATTTGTTTATGTTCTACATGGCTTCGTGCCTGTCTTTGTGTTACGAAAAATAAGGGCTTGCCTTACTCAAAACAGAATGGAAAGAACAGTTACTGACGTAAACAAAAATCACGTTTCAACAACCAATCAAGAGCGAGATACACACACTACGTCACTTGCAGGTATCTCATTGTACCGGACTATATCCTAAAATAAAAAAAACTGCTAATTAGTCTTCGTGAACATGAATGTAAAGGGGTATGACAAAATTATTGAAATGCTTATGTACTAACTTATATTACACCGTTAACTTTAAAAAAAACTGAAGATTTTGAAAAAAAATTTACTATTGTTAAAAAAAATTTTCAACATTAGCACAATTCACAAGTAATTATTATAGCACAATTTGTTTTTAGGAAAAGGCCTTTATTTTTGTGAAGCAGCAAATACCAAAAATTGAGATTTGTAAAAAGATTACAAAGCCGCGACATTTTTAGAATCATCATTTGATTTGAAATATGAAATAAAAAATAGGCAATTTGTGAACCTAGTTGGAATGAAATTACTCCAGAAAAAAGAGAGTTAACAGACCCTTTTAGCAGAAGCTATAAATACAAATTTTTCCTATATTTCGTCATAAGAGGATAAGAGTAATATTGCTCCAAGGAATCTTCTCAATAATTTCATTATTTCCAGAATTGAAATCTATTTGAACGAATCATCGTTTGAAGGCTAAAACGAGAAACAATTTAATTATTATCATTTATTTAAGCTTATTCCATTAATTTGTTGATAGCAATATCAAGGAAGTGGATATACGTTGAAAACACCATTTACTATTCTACTAAAAATACATTAAATCATACAGCGTGAATAATTTGTTTCAAGCTAATTATTTAATCATTTTAAGCAAATAAGGGTGTAAAAATAGAATCGATTGATCTAAAGTGTACTCTAAAATATATGTAGAATAAGCTTTGGAATCGATACATAAAAAACAACGTCACAAGTCAATCATGAGTCTTGAGAATGAGTGCTTATTCCTTAACTCTGTCGACATTTATTTTCATTTTCATATTTTTAGAAGACGATGAAGTTTTTATCATTAATAATTCTGCGTTGCATTTGATAATTCTTTTCTTGATAATTTCTCTTGATAATTCTTTTGATAAGAATTTTATGCTCGAAGAAGTAAACATCTGTATGTTAATAGTTTCATGAGGGTTCATGTAGTCCTGAAAAATGCAAGAGAAGTGTTGCATCAATATTGCAATATTGAAGTTATCTTCTTTTACATTCGTGAGAACGGGAGTTCTTGGAACGGAAAGAATTATTAATAAGAATATTGGATCATAAGGTGCAAATCATAGCTTTAATGCTACGATTAAGTTTTATTTATCACCAGAGGGTTAAGTCCCCTGTTCGCTGATGCTCCCCTACCCCGATGATCAGGGCCGGATTAACCTATAGGCACACTAGGCACGTGCCTAGGGCCTACGAAATTCAGGGGCCTACGAAAAACGTGGGGGAAAAAAATTTGTCGACAAAAACAATTTAGCTTTAAAAACAACAAGTGTATTTTGCGCAAAATTATGAAGATACAAANTGAAGTAACATTTAAAATTATAAGTGCATTGTTATAACAAATTCGGTGAGTTCCTAACTGTAATTTAATATTTCTGATTACCAAATGAACGGATGTATATTTTAAATACAATTTTTTGCATTCATCACTTCGTGCGTGAAGTTGAAAGTTAAGTTCTAAATCATTTAACAAATCTTTTAACCGTCATTCATAACAGAGTATATTAATGTAATTTGTTCCAAAATATAATAAATGTAAAACGGTTAATAAGATCAAACACCGATTTAAATAACTTAATCTTAAAATGTAACGTAGAATTAATTTATTCTAACAATAATAATAATAAAAACAATACTCTTAAACTCTTAATTTAGAAAACAAACAAAATCAAAAACGTAATAATAACAGCACAGGTGAATACCTTTAAATTGGGGATGCAAAAATATTCACAGGGAAGCAATACCTTATAACTTATATTAAGGCTCCTATACTACAGAGCTGACCTATCAAGCAATATTGGAGCAAACAAGCTCGCAAGTTAACGTTATGTTAGTATTATTTATGTTAGCTCTTTGCTCCAAAAATAGATGATAAGTCGGCCTGTCTAATTGGGTATACTATAGCCTACGTCACAGGTTGTGTTATTCCTACTAAATTTAACCCATGACAACATTTTCTGCGAGCCTAACTTCAAGCCACAAATAAACAAACGAAGTGTTTGATGGTTTAAATAGCTGCTCGCCAGATTTTATTGCATTATAAAGAAAAGTAATTGATATTTGATTAATAATTGATTTATGTGGATAGTGGCATAGAATTTAGCATTGCGTCATGGTAAATGTTATTCCTACTAAGTGGAAGTAGTTGTGTTTTTTTTATATTATACCCAATTCAGGGGCTCTAGCTTATATCAATTTTATGCTGATGACAACCAAACCAATATTAAAATTAATGTGAAAAAACTGGATCCTACCACGTGATCAGAGATGCCAACTGCTCCGGACATGCCAAATTAATTTTTAAAAAAACGGTAAATAACTACAAAGCAAATTTTGCAATTATTTGACTTTTTTTGCTTGATTTTTAAAAGTTATAACATGACTTTAGCACTAAAAAGTGGTGAATTATATAAATCTACGAATTATTTAGAAATAGTGGTGGATAAAAATCTACTAAATTGAATTTATTAAACCAAGAATCACAATTGATAAACTACCACTTTAAAATATTTATTCACTGTCCGGAGCAAGTTTGCATCTCTGCGTGATTTTCCGGCCTATAAAAATATTCCGACAACAATGGAAAACTGCGACACCATTATTAGATTTTAATACATAGTTAGAAATAGTTATGAATTTCATAATTAAATGGCTTCAAAGAACATCGCTTAAAATGTTTAATTAATTAAAAATGTAACGATAATAACTGTTTAATTTACAGTTCGTCTATAAAAATATTTTTCCTAAACTATAATTACGTTTTTTATTGATTCCTTTTAATAACCAACCCTATCCACAAAACGATGCAATAAGTACTTCATTAATACTAATAAAGCCTCAGAAATATGAAATAAAAATGTTATTCCGTTAATATATGTTTCTGAAATATGAAATATTTTTTGATGCAACTTAACAGTCGAACGATTTCCAGATAGTATTAAATCAACTTCCAATTAAATTCCTGCATAATACACTGCAGAGGATTTATTATTATGGAAAATTATAAGTTAATTACAGAACTCTCGCTTCTTCCAATTTATTTATGGCGTCGACCGTAAAAATTCAATTAAGATCTTCCCTCGAGGCAGGAGAGAGGTACCTCAATAAAATTTCTCATTTCTGAATTCTGAAGCTTTTCCATCAAGATGTTGTTTTATTTGTAATATAAAATTACGTCGATATATCCGCTCATAAGAAAAATTTGGGAAAAGAATGTCCTCTAACTTTACGATTCCAACTCTGAAAGTTTATCTCTAAGAGTCACGTGTTTTGCCGTTTAAGATAAGTCTTGTACTTCGAAGCAGAATGCTAAAATGTGGAAACATTATTTTGAAATACTTTACTCGTTATAACGACGATACTCAATAAAAAATGAAATTGTCGTAATAGTGAGCTCGTCCTTATAAGCAAATACACATATTTAGTGTTAAAATGGCAACAAAACTGTTTAAAAGATTAAATACACTTATATGTCTATTTTTTTTTTCATTTTTAAGCAACTATATTTTGGTTACAAATAGAAAGCTATAAAAAAGTTTTTGTCCTATAAAAAATGTTAAATTTCCTATAAAAGCTAATCCTATTAAATCCTATTAATCCTATAAAAGCTATAAGAAATTGTTTGCTAAACTAGATCTAAATGGAGAGTTTTTGCTCACTGCAAGGAAAAAAATTAAATAAAGGGCTATAGCTTTTGACAAAACTAATTGCACTGATCGCGGCTGCCTACTTTTAGTAGTTTTTAGTAAGAATTTATTCTAATGGTAATTACAGTATTGTTTTTATGCATTATGTTTTATTAATTGAAACATATTTTCCGCATCACTACGCATAAATAATTTAAATGTTCATATGCAACGCCACTTAGTTCCAGCTATTTTTTGATGTGGTTCCTAAAATATTGGCAAAATTACCAGGCCTGCTAACTACTACGCTTTTTGCAACATATTTTATAAAGAGGTAGACATTTAATTAACAAAGCTCTCAGAATATTTGGTAATTTTGCCAACATTTTAACAGCTTCACCATGAAATAACTAGAACAAAGTAGCGTTGTATATGAACTTTTAAATAATTTATATGCAGTGGTGTGAAAAATAAGTTTAAATGACTAAAAAAAATAATACATTAAAACATAAACTTAGCTACCACTAG